TCAGATTGAAGTCTGACTCCATATGAAAGAATGTTTCGATAGACTGGAGCGTGTACCTCCAAGGGTGGAATGTATCAGATTCATTTTCCAATTTCGATTGAAAATATTAACTCCACAATTTACAGTGGAAAATTCACTCTGTAAGAGTAAAAATAATTCGATCTCGAGTGACTCGGCTGTTCGAATCTCAGTTACTTCTCACATAAGTCCATTGCATAATAGAATAAGGAATTAATATCTCAAATCCCAATCAATGCGGATCAGTGACGAACGCGCGAATGTAATCTGTGGCGAATTTAGGTGTTGGGTATTATCGAGTTTCGGAACGACCCTGAAGAGATAATACAATTTACATCATTGATGATTTACTATACGGTCATCATAGGGAAAGCGATCTGCGTTGCGTGTACCTTATCCAAGGTGTGTAAGTTAGAACGGCTGGCCGATAATTGATGCGATTAATTGATTAATCCATATGATTATGCGTCAACCGGTAAGATACACCTATACGTCCATAATATTGGGAGGTGAAAAAAGAAACAATGCATTCAGAATTAGATTAACTTGAAATTACAGGTCAAGATCATGCTGATGAAAATAAAAAAACATTGGATTTCCCCGAAGACGGATGAAGAGACTGCAATTCTGTATTCCTATGCATCATATGGGCAAAAGTTTGGCTACGTGTACACAGGTAAATGTATCGACTAAATGTGACTGAAACGTGAGTTTACTACTGCTATTGAATGCAATCGATTTCAAATTAAGTCAATTGAAATGTTCGGTCAAAAGTTAAAGTCAGTGAAAAGTGATGCATTTTCTTCTTGAACCGCAGTCAACTTTTATAGCAAAGTGAAACTTAAGTAATATACGTAAAATACACTAAAGTGTACTTTACAGTACACGAATGCTGTCAAAACGTAAGATATCAGACAATGACGGCGATAATTTGATCGACGAATTATTGAACGCAATAATGGATAAATTCAAGTTTCTCTATAAAATCCAAACGAACCTCTTAACTGACAGTTCAAAAAGTTTGAGCCGAATTTTTCGACTGATGCAATTAATCTGACGTATTCGATCCCCAACCAGTTGTTTTGTATGGACATTCCATCCTCTATCTAAGTGAGAGTTTGTTGGAGAAGTTTACGTACGTGGAATCAAATGGGACAAATGAAACATCAAGCGCCCCTGTGGGTTTACCTTTTCATCCTATTAATTATATGGTCGACATAGACACATATTACGTCCCGATTTTTTTACACACAGTCATGTGCGAAATAACATACGTGACAATCCTATGCGCAGTCGATGTCTTGTATTTTACATCTGTTCAATATTACTGCGGCCTGATCGCAGCTCTGAGGTGAGAATCCGCGTGATTACTTCCATGATTATACCTCGATACTGAGAAATAAAAAC